GGAGGCGGCTTGAACTGAAACACTGCTTGCAAACAGTGGACGCACAGACGGATCTTGGGCGGACTCGACGTGCGGAAATGTTCTGCAAAGCCCAGCAGGGCTAGGTACCAGGGCTCCGGGGCCTCAGTGCTCGCTGCCATCTCGAGTCGTCCGAAGACTAAACTGAAACCAAAGTATACCACATTAACGATGGACAGACGTCCACCGAATTTGCCCTCAGCTGGTCTACTCTCTCTTTTATTTTCTGCATGAATCTGGCTACTAGCGTTAAGCCAGCAAGATGAATAACAACTTCCGTTTTTCAAAATAAAACCACACGAATAACAGTAAGACAAGGATAACATACGTTTGCGTGTATTTTCAGGGTGTTGTAGTGACACAACAGTTGCAACAATAACATATTTACAACTGCACATTTTATAAAGGCATTTCACGATATATATATCCACCAGATATGGAGGTTTACCGCGGAGATATTATAAATTATTAAACCGCCTCTTTTATTTTGGAGGGAGAGTCGTCAAAATAAAACTTTCACTTTCACCTGTTTATCTCCCATATAATAAATATTCACGTAGTAGCGCATACTTCTTCTTTATATGAAAGATACTAACTACTAAATTTAGCTTTTTTTCACTAGTCGTGACCCGGATGATGAAAACCATAACAGTAATAGAAGAAATAATAAAGAAATAGTAGTCTTCAAGTGAAACGGTATATTAGCGGAACTAATATTTGGCGGTGCATGTCCCAACCGAGACGATGTACGAGTGGGACCTTTTGCGGAATTTACTATTCACTTAAATTGTTACGCACAATTCACGCCCCGCGCTCGTTGCTGAGAGCGTAGACATAATATACAGCTACCGGCAGAGACGTAACGTCACTACGTAAAGTGCGTAAATCGTCAGTGGCCCTTGGTTCATTCACGAGAGTTGTGCAGGTTGTCTGTTACTGTGCGTTGGTAACAGTTAATTTATATTTCTAATACATTAACTTACAACAGCGTTATTTAATGGTAGCTTTGTACATAAAACACAGTCGGTAACATAACACCGGCTAGGTAACAATAGTTATTACCAACTAGCTTAGCTATCTCGGGTGAGGCTGAATCAACGCAACTGATGGTTTCCAGTGTTTGACTTCATCATTATTGTACTTGATTTCAGATTAGAGATTAACGTGTGGGAAATGGCGAAGCGTAGGATCACACAGGAAACCTTTGACGCTGCTGTCAGGGAAAACATGGAGGAATTTGAGATGGATCCTGGTGAGGCTTTGAGGGATGCTGTGGAGCAGTTTGAGTCTCAAGGTAACGTAGCTAGAAAGGACAATGGCTAGTAGACGATTACTGTACAGTTGTGTTATTGACTCTTACCGGGGAGCTTGTAGATTGTCTCTACTGAAGTCAAGACAGTAATAATAACATTATAATTGTAACATTTTCCATGGAGCATCAAAATGACAGAGGTAAAACATTAAATGCAAAATATTAGTGTGAGTATTGCACATCTTATGTCTCATGTTGATCAAACTGCAGACCCTTCTGCCAGTAAAGCCTGTTCAATTATTTATCTTGGTATAGGAAGATCTCTTGTGACACATCTCACTGGAGCCATGAGGCCTGATGAGTAATGTCCATATTGGAATAATGCTCTCTTATTTGAAAATAATAGCCACCTCATGAACATTTAAAGGGATAGTTCAGATGTTTAGAAGTGGGGTTGTACGTACTTATCCATCCACCTACAGTAGACAGTGGTCAGTGCACCCCCAGTTTGGGGAAGCAGACAGGGGTATGGAGGAGATGGAGAAGGGAGAAAGGAGAAATGTATTTGGCTGCCTAAAAAAGGCTCATATAAAAAAAATATTGGTTTAAGTGTATGCTATATTTTGAAAAGTTTTTCTGCTGACCCCATCCGCAGCACAACCTTGCTTAGCTTTGTGTTAAGTCAATTAAATGAGTTGGGTAATGTTCCTGTTTGCTACCTGTCTCAATGCTCTGTGCTTTTTTCCTGGAAAAGTGATTCCAATTAAAATGCTCTCAGTAACCTAACAGACATATATTAACATCTACGTACCTTTTATAGGGAGTTTTAGAGGATAAAGTGTAATATAGTAACTTTCTATCTCCTACATCCCCTAATAAACTTGAGGCTTCTGTTCTTGATAATGGTCCACTAACCCACACACAAGGTTGGGGTGCAGTATGACTAAAACTGTAATATCTTCATTGCATAATTGATATTCTATTACCTACAGTGGACGGTGGTCAGTGCACCCCTCATAGGGGTGGAGTTGTGACATAGAGAACCCATTCATACACAGCTGCCTGCAAACTTAGTTTTGCATGCTTACTGTACACTCTTGAGTTCTTAGTGTAAATGACATTCATCTTAATTTTTTCCTGTTTTATACTTGATATTTTGTTGTGTTTCAAACCATTAACCCAAATCTTATGTGTGGAAACAGGTGTGGACCTTAGTTGTATTGTAAAAGCTATGCCAGCTGGATCATCTGATGACAAACAAGAAGAGCAAACACACAAAGTCTTACAGGTGAGTCTATTTTAAGAACGGGGTCTGCTTAAGGTAAAATTATCAAAATCTTACTCTAACACATGTCTTCTATGCAGGCTTTGGATTCCCTTCGGATTGGAAAAGACTCTGCCGGTGTTACGGAAGTGACGGCAGACTTAAAACGTTTCACTGAGCATTGCTCACTTGGATTTGCCCAGAGGTACCTGGCTGCCCAAAAAGACGCCTACCCCATCATCCTCTCTTACTGCAAAAAGAGTTTGAAGGAGCGGGAAGCTGTGTTGACTGCCCTGTCCGCTCTGGCTGCACTGACGGATGGACAGCCAGACTTGTTAGATGCAGAGGGCCAGCAGTTTCTTTTGAATGTCCTTAAGGAGTATCGGGCAGATTCCTCTGTGACACGTCTTGCCATCCACGCTGTACGTCACTTCTGTTTGAAACATGAACAGAACAGGCAGGATTTGGTAAAAGGTGGCGTCCTGCCTCTGCTGACCGGTGCCATTACACAGCACAGTGCATGTGCTGAGCTGGTCAAGGAGGCCGCTGCAGCTCTCAGGGTCATGACCTTTGACGATGATGTCCGAGTTACATTTGGACACGCTCACGAACACGCCAAGAGTATTGTTCTCGAACACAATGGACTGAAGGTTTTAATTGAGGCTGCGAAAGGTAAGGCCAGCTGATCACTAGTTTACGTGGGTGTTAAGGATAATAGCTTCAGCTACTTTGGTGATTTCCTGAATCATATTTTGATTTTGTTTCTTGTGTTCCTCCCTCACAGCTCACTGTGATAATACTTCTGTTCTGAGTGGGCTTTGTGCAACTTTGTCCCATCTGGCTGTGAGGAATGAGTTCTGTCAAGACATCTGTGATCTGGGAGGCATGAAACTCATGATGAGGCTGCTTGCAGACAGCTATGAGTCACAGGTAGCCATCTTAAAAACAAGATATTGTGATACAAACTGATATAAGGTTCAGCTTGTTTGTTCTTCTCACTAAACTGGTTTTCTCCTCGCAGGAGTTGGTTCGGCAGATCCTCAGTGCAATACGAGCCGTAGCAGGAAATGATGATGTGAAAGATGCAGTTGTTAATGCTGGTGGAGTCCAGCTAATTGTCATTGCCATGAACAGACACATGAACAACTCTGGGGTGAGTTAATGTCATAACTACACACAAATTGAGTGGTGTGATCTAGCGTTTACTACAGAATAAGAGCAGACATTTTATAATACATTGGTTTTTGTGGGATAAAAATACATTTGAGGTCTAAATAAACTCTGAAGATGTTCTAAGATGATGTTCATGTTCTGCTGCAGGTGTGTGATCAGGGCTGTGCGTGCCTCTCTGTCCTTAGTTTGCGTAAACCCAACAACTGCAAAGTCATCATGGAGAATGGAGGTGCCTTGGCAGCTGTTCAGGCTATGAAGGCACATCCTAATTCGGTCAATGTGCAGGTAATATCAGGTCTTTAATAATTAACATGCTTACTCTAAAACCAGGCCATGTGACAGTCTGCCAACTCTTTTCTCTTTCTTTATAAACAGAAACAGGCGTGTATGGTGATGAGAAACCTGGTTGCACGAACACAAAGCTACAGCCAAACAATCCTGGAGATGGGAGCAGAGGCCCTGATAGCCCAGGCAATAAAGACACATCAAGACTGTGGTGATGTGGGTAAAGCAGCCCTCAGAGATCTGGGATGCCAGGTGGAGCTCCGAGAGCTGTGGACCGGCAAACATGGCAGCCTCACCAACTGAGAGTAGAGGAGAACATCCCTGTAAACCATTATTATGAGGGGGCCTGGAATGTAACTTTTAGACAAGATGAAATGGTGTTGGTATGCATAGCCAGGAGTTTAAACAGATGCACCTACCCAGCTAGACGTATTTGTGTAATTGTAGTAGTTGATGTAGAACAGAGCAAGTGACCAGTCCCACACAACACCCTTTAAAGGCTGAATAGATCTTCCAGTGCTTCTGTTTTTTAAAGTGCAAAAAGGTTATTGTAGTCTTGTTGTACATGTTTTGATTCCTATTAATATTTTGTTTACAAATTTTTTGGTTTCCAATTTTGTACAATGTTTATGTTCTTTGTTTTGTGCCATGGGGAAATCTAAATGTATTTTTATGAGCATTTCCTTCCCCGTGTTGGCAGAGCCTCATTTTAACACGCCTTATACTTTAACTAGAGCTAAACATTTCCTTTTTTTTGGCTTTCAGTTGGTATATACCTACAGTGTAAACCTGGAAATCACTGATATGTAGCCCTCCCACTGACAACATCATATTGTATATTCTGCATGATTGTGATAAAATTCACTTTGCTGCGTCACCTTTATCTTTCTGTGTGTACATGTCACCATATACCGCCTCCTAACGGGCAAAAAAAAAAAAAACAAAAAAACCCTCCAACTACTCCCAAATGTGTCTCCTGTTCACGCCCCTCTAACCGGCCTATCCAAGCATGCCCCTCCTTATCCAGACTTCATTTCCCACAATGCCACCGCGCTCGTCCTTGTCAGACCTCACTGTGGTCAAAGCTAACGTTTACTGCCTCGGGTCGTTGACAGGAGTAGTAACGGCAGATATACAACAGCATGGACGGTGGCAGTCACTTAAAGTCACCGCAGAGAGCATGAATTAAAGAAATGAGTGGAAGGCAGTGCCATCTTTGTTTAAATCAAGACTGAAGATTAACGTTACTGTTAGCATTTCCTCAACGCTGTCGACGAGAGTAACATTAATGTTAACGTAGCGGCGAGCTAACAGCTAGCTAATGTTACAGAACCTGCTGTTTGGTAACTTAGAAACAGTTTCAGAAGAGCCTGCTACCGAGTGGAAACAACGCAGCAAGTGAGCGATTTCACAGCTCTAGAAAGCTTCGTGCTGGTGTCACATTTGTGAGGTGAGTTATCAAGTGTTTGTAACTAGTGACAGCTAGCTGGCTGCGAAAAAAAAAAAAAAGGTGGCTGTGTTTTGTTAGTGGACAAGTTTCGACAAGACTGGAGGGTTGCACTCAGGAGGGGAAGCATGGTGGTTATTTAATGAATGGATGTATAATTAACTGTATTAGAGTAATACTGCTGACTTGTAACAGTACCCTGTTTGTGGTCATGATGTGTCAGAGATTGCACAAACCATTTGAATAAAATAACAATACATGCCAAAGCAATGGCAGCATATGGGATACAGTGCAGTTATAAACCTATTGGCTAATGTAACAAAGCTGTAAACATACCAGGAGGTAGAATAAAATAAGACCTCATAATGTAATAAGGTCCAGTACAGCTACACCACACACTGGAATATTCTAGAAGTGACACATTTAAAGCTGAAATAATAAGTCAGATATTCAGTTGATGAAAAAATAAAAAAGCTGTGATAATTGATTTATCATGTAAGTCACTTGTCAAACATAAAGGCCACATGTGAGGATTTACTGCATTTTACTGCAGTTTTATATAATTGTAAATGGTATGTCTTCAGGTTTTGGACTGTAGGCCCATCACCCAGGGCTCAGGAAAATTGTTAACACTCTTTTCTGACATCTTGTTCAAGAACAAAATAATTAACTAAACAGATTTTTTATTTTCAATATAAGCTCCATAAAGGTAGCATGACTGTTCTGATGAAATAAATTAAATGTGTTCTTATTATCTTGCCCACTTTGTTTCTCCACACAAAGTTACTTGTTGTCTTGACACAATCTTAAACTCCAGTTTACTGATACATTGATATTTTACTATTGACCATGTAGGTAACCCAACTGAAAGGACAGGTTCTTCACAGACATTTTCTCACTAAAAGACGGCACTGCTGTGTATTTCCTTAAAACTATTTAACCACAGGGACAGCTCTGTGTCTCCATTGCTGTGTGTATAGCAGCCAAGCCTGAGGCACACAAAACAGGCACAGCGACCAGTCAGGAACAAGGAAGTGTTAACATGATATGCATGGGGAAGAGGGCTGAGAGATGGCCTGAGAGTAAGGAGAACAGTGGGTAATGCAAACGGGGGGGACATTAGGGGTCTAAGTGCTCATTTGAGGATCTGTCTTAAAGCCCTGTTGAACAGATGCCAAAATTGGTTGCCCATGACTACCCAGCGTTTCAGCAGACCCTCTGTTTGCTCTCTTGTCTCATGGTGTTCTCTCTCTATCTTGTTTTGCTTGATTCTCCTCACTGTTACCAAACTCCCTGAACTTTGATGTTTCTAAGAAGAATCTTTACCAAGAATGTTTAATTATTTAACACAAATTCATTATCTACTAGTTCAGCTGTGGCTGCCCTGTAACATTCAATGGAATAATCTAGTGCTTAAATAGATAAATCATTAATTGAGTAGTGGAATTTGTGAAATACATTTATTGTTTTAGTAACTTATCAAATAAAAATATAATTTGCTATTCCCAGTTGCTCTAAGAATTGCTTTATTTCTCTGACTCACATTGTGGTAATTTTTTATATTTTCACACCCACTTTAAGAATTTTTATTGGTTTATATAAGAAAAAATGCCAAGATATTATCGCAGGATTTTAGAACTCTCAAATATTAGTATCAGCATTTAAAATCCAGTATTGGTTGAGATACATTCAGGTACAATAAACAATGTTTTGGTATAATTTAATGACAGTTTTGATAACTTTGTCATATGCTACTATTCTTCACGATAGTCCTTATTGCACTGATACTATTACTATTACTAAAATAAATAAAAAGAATAGGATTATAATGTATTTATACGTGTGTGTATATATAACAAAATATTGATTGAACAATATTCCAGAAATTCGAAAACACTGACCGTAAACGAAGAAAGCAGTCTCTACATTTGCTCATTTTGTATTATACAATCAGTATATATGTTACAAAATGTAAAAAAAAAGTGAATACCAAGTTAATCAGTCATGAAAATAATCATTGTAGCCCTGCAGAAATACATATGCCAACTTTAAAGACACTTTATGACTGTGATTTGTTGTAAAGCTGGTGTGAACAATGCCTGGCTGTGAAGTGTGTACAGTACTTAGTGACGGACCAGTGAGCCTGTGGAGGGTTAAAGATTGCATGAATAGGTAATCTGTCTCAAAATGATTAGTTCATTGAAAAGTATGCAGACATTTCGCATTGTAAAGGTGATCACCCCAAATAAATTGTTCTGTGTTCCTCTTCTTTACTGACGACAGAGGCAAGAATGTCCCGATTGAACAAAGATATTGTAAGACTGTAATCTGGTATGTTAGCAAGGGTGGGGCTTCAGTGGTGGTGTGTTTTTTTTAAGCTCTTCTCAGATAGACACCTTTCACCTACAAGTCCTCAACTCTGCTGTCCTTCAAGATATCTTTGGCTGTAACTTGCTGTCGTACTGCTTAGTAGCCAACTAACTACTTAGTAAAGTTACTGGACAGGTAACTATTTACGAGAGGTGTGTGTGGTATTTATAGTTTCTTGTTTGAAGACCCTCAGGGAGTGGACAAAGACAATAGCAAACTAAAATACATTTCTCTGTCTACAGGTTTACAGGCTGCACTTGGAATACTTTGGTTGTCATTACTACAAACTATCCTCCTGAATGTTGACAGTGTTTGCATGACAGTTCCTCCATAGAGTCAGAGTCATGCTTGTCACCTGATCCTGACACAGAAATGGACCTTTGTCTCTCTCTCCTGACCTCTTCCCTGTAGCTCTCAGCGCCTGCTGTTGCTGCCTCCCCCTGGTGGTTGAATTCATGAGCACGCTCAGTGACAGCTGTGCGTAGTCCTCGGGAATGGGGAGTGGAGTCCAGGAACAACGGGCATCACTCACGCAAGGCGAAGTGCTGCCACGGGCTTCTTCCAGTCAGTCAGAAGTGAGCTATGAGGTTCAGTTTTATAGACACAATCATTCCTTCAACACTTAAAGGGTCTCTATGTAACATTCAGAGAATCGTTAATAATGACACCAATGGCAGTTAAGTGAACTGCAGTCACCATCATGTTGCTTGTGCTCGTACATACACAGACAGTAGGCACAATCCCTGCATACAAATGCATATAAATCTTTCCACAGGCAACCAAGAAAGTTGAATTAAAAAGTGATTCATACGTGAATGAAAATATAAAATGCTTCATAATCTGACATATCCCTTAAAGAAAAAAAAAAAACATCCAGAAATGATTTATATGTAATGATGTATTATTTAGCTAAATTTGAATCTGTGAATTTGAGTCATTGGTCTCAGGTCGAAGAAAAATAATAGAGCTGCTCAATTATTAATATATAATGTAACAATTCATAGGATATTAGAGCAGTCATTGTGATTTTACAAATAATTGAAATATTTGTTATTAATAATTATTTATTATCTGGTAACTTTAAATGGCAGAATTGTAGTGGCATCCTAATGCTATTTCACTGTCTCTGTTTTATCTGTGTATTGTCTTTATTTGACTCAAATTCAGATGTGCTGTCAAACTTTATTCTCTCTCTGCTAGTTGCTCTGTTGTATTGAATGTGAAACAGTTTAACTGAGCTGAGCTTAGCCTCGTCTTTGTCTTCGGTTCATTTAAGGACACCTGCTCCTCCTGTTTTGTAAGCTGGTTAGTCAGATGTCATCAATTATCCTTTATATAACTCTGGTTTAATGATCAACAGCATCTCAAACACAACTTTGTTCACGCAAGGCTGCAGTTTTTACAGGATTCACCCTGTTTGTTGCTGGTGACCCTAAATGTGATTCCTCTATCGCTGTGCAGGGCCTGAAGCACACTCGGTCTGTCATCAACTCACTCTTCTCGGGGGCTTTAGCAGGAGCTGTGGCCAAGACAGCTGTCGCCCCACTGGACAGGACTAAAATCATCTTCCAAGGCAAGTGGCATACTCTGCTGGCCTAAAAGTGGAAACTAGACTTGAATTGACCCACATGCGTGCCATAGAATTATATTTTTAGTTTTAAATGTGTGGCTTTTATTCATAGCTATGACAAAATGTTTGATGACTTAAGAGAAACACTTAACGTGTTATTTATATTGCACATGTATTTTGTTTTTCAGTGTCTTCAGCAAGATTCTCTGCCAAGGTTGGTTTGAACACATATTTAATGTCAGTTTCTTTGTAAAAAAAACAACCTTCTCATTCATAAGAAGATATTAATTCACATCCCGACTATGAGAATGTATGTGTGCGCATTGCATTACAGGAGGCCTACAGGTTGATCTACCGCACCTACCTGAAGGATGGCTTCTTCAGTCTGTGGAGGGGGAACTCGGCCACCATGGTGCGAGTCATCCCATACGCTGCCATCCAGTTCTGTGCACACGAACAGTACAAGGGGCTGCTGGGAGGCTACTATGGCTTTCAGGGGAAGTAAGTGTCAGTTTATACTGGTAGACCCATTATTAAGATCTGCTAGCCCCTTTAATAGACCTTTTATCGTTGAATTTAATAATCTCATTTAAGATTTTCTTGATGTCTTTTGGAGTAATGAAAAATGTGAAAGGCTGAATTGTTTTTCTCTGTGTCCCAGAGCCCTACCTCCTTTTCCAAGGTTTCTTGCGGGGGCTATGGCAGGTACCACGGCAGCCATGCTGACGTATCCTCTGGACATGGTGCGAGCAAGGATGGCTGTAACGCCAAAGGAAATGTAAGATCATCTTTAGCTGTCAATGCACATCAGTCATCAGTGGGTATTTAACACAATATCACTACAGCAAAATAATATGATTGAGCGTTTTTATTCAAGGTTCAGGTTTAAGCTGAAATATGGAACATTTGGAAGGCTGATCAAAAGCCACGACACTGCACTGTAATTCATACTGAGATCAAATTGTTGGAATGGAAAATCATCAAAAATCTGAGGAGCGAGCGATTTTTCCATCAGGTCTCCAATCTGAACTGCTGCTCTTGTCGCTGATGCTCAAGTCCTTCAAAGTGCTGATTATTAAGAAGAAGAAGATTTACTTTAGCAGTCCCCAGTGGAACTTCTTTTTTCACTTAATAGTTTACACACACCGGCCCAAAATAATACACAGAGGGCTCATATGGAGAGATGGTGGAGTGACTGCCACGTAGCAGCAGTTACAGGTTAGTTGGCTCACCCACCCAGGAACAGCCCCACAATTCATACTGTGGTCCGTGGACTTGAACACCCAACCCTCCAGTACCTAAACCAAGTTCCTACACAATGAGTTACTGCTACTCCTAACCAGTAATCAGTACCTAAGACTAGATAAGTGGCTTTGAAATTTGCAAGACAGAAAGAAAAAAATGTGTGAAGCAACCAGAGTTAATGTCACTCAGACATTTATGTTCCTGTGTAGCCTCAAATGGACTCAATGCTGTTGACTGTAGAGTGTTTTTTCTAAATGTAAACAGTCTGTTAATAAGTTTCATGCTGATATTTTTTTCTTTGTGGTGCTTCCGCTGTTTAGGTACAGTAACATTCTACACGTGTTTGTACGGATATCCAGAGAAGAGGGCCTGAAGACGCTGTATCGAGGCTTTACTCCCACCATTCTGGGTGTTGTCCCCTATGCTGGTCTTAGCTTCTTTACCTATGAGACACTGAAGAAATCACATGCAGGTAATGCACTACCACTGCCAAGTCTAACTGTATCTGTGTATGTATGTCCAACTCTCTCACACACTCAATGTTTATGTTGCATATGTAAAATATTTGTTCACTGAACGGCACTTCTTTACATCCTCTCACCCGTGCAGAGCACAGTGGGCGCTCACAGCCCTACTCATATGAACGTCTGGCTTTTGGAGCCTGTGCAGGTCTTATCGGCCAGTCGGCATCTTACCCTCTGGACGTGGTACGACGGCGCATGCAGACTGCAGGAGTCACGGGTCACACGTACGGCACCATCCTGGGCACCATGAGGGAGATTGTGTCGGAGGAGGGGGTTATCCGTGGACTCTACAAAGGTCTCAGTATGAACTGGGTTAAAGGGCCCATTGCAGTGGGGATCAGCTTCACCACCTTTGACCTTACTCATATCCTCCTGAGGAAGCTGCATCAGATGGGTTATACGACTCGATAATAGCGATACAGAGAGAAGAAAACAGGTATAGTGGGATGACAGAATCCCCATACACCCTCTGAAGAGAAACAAAGGAAATGAACGAGTGAAGAGTGTGTATTGCTGGATAAAATTAAATGCACACTGGCTCAGGAAGCGTGGGTAAAGTTAACGTACTCCCTCGCTTTATCTGTTTGCAACAGGGAGGTAGTCCCGCAGGCATGAGGTATGTTGGATGGTACCAAGTACCTGTACACACTGTCCTGTACATCTAAGTGCAATATTCTTAGTGACTTTATGTGTGTATGTGTGTACACATATATTATAATGCTCCTGCCCTCGTGGACCAGGCTGGTGAGTACATTTGTCAGTCAGAGAGTTTAGAGGTTCACACACACACACACACACACACACACACACACACACACACACACACACACACACACACACACACACACACACACACACACTGAGGTCTCCCAACTTCCTTGTGTTTTCGCGTAAAACTGACACCTTCCAATGCAGTGCAGGTTGCCACTCATTTACTGTTGACTTTTAAGATGCATTTGATTTAATGAGAGTGAAATATGCCCCCCCGAGATTTGTTTTGTTTTGAGTGAGTTTGTTTTAAGGAATTATACCAAAGGAGCAGATTATATGACGTTAGTGGTATTTAGCATAATAAAGCACAAAAGTTCACAGAGTATGACTTTAGAGCAAAAATCTTGCCCAGCACAGAGGTAACAGCATGGTTACTGCCGTCAAATGGTCAGTTTTTGTTTGAGTTGACTATGTATTGATATCACTATTGAGTCCAGTATGTTTTAGTGGAGCTCTAAATGAAGATTAAATTCACAGACTTTTATTTGTAGTTTAGCTACTGTGCTGACAGCAGACAGATGAGCTATGTTTTGTGCCAGTGCCAACAGATATGAAGTATAAAGAGTGCCCATATTATTTGGTTTGTTTTCACTGTACTCATATAATGGGCTTTTAGATAGTTTTGTTGTCAGAAGGATTAATACACAAAGATGAGTTAAGAATAGAATCTGAAAATGACAGTTCAAGTTTTACCTCCTATTAACATCTAGTCCCGTGTAATGCACATCAAGCAATTTGATACTGATACACTGATTCAACAGTTTAATAGGAACACCTGTACAGTCTTATGTAATCCAATACAGCAACCCTGCTGTGAATACTACCTTTATGAAGTTTACAATGTTCTGTTGTTGTTGACACTGTGCGTTGCTTTAACTCTATTAGTGATAATGTTTTGGATTACAGTATATTGAGAGGTGTTTCTAATATTCTGTCCACCTCCGGTATGTCACTGTAACTGGACACACACATACAGCACGTATACAATAGGTTGTCTTCCATTTGCCGTCAGTATTGCAGCTGCGACATGTTTTGTTAGAGACTAATGATTTCGACAGGTCATAGAAATAACTTCGTAACTACAGTTGGGTGGATTTTTGGTTGCTTAAAACTTGTAGCAGTATTTGCTTGACTGGAAATATGCACAGACCTAATGAAGAGAACATTTGAGTTCTCTGTTAAAGGCATCATTTTGTACATTGTAGTGTTCTCAGTATTGTACTTGAGTATTGTACCTCAGCACATAATCTAATGTTCATGAAATTCTCAAATATCAATATCAATCAAAGTGGTGTAAAAAAAAAAAATGGGACATTGTGCTCAGTTTTGATTTGATTTGACCGCATGTGAGACAGTTTCAACAGTACTGATGCTGGCTTAAAAGTCATTGAAGAGTGTCAATAGTTTCTATACTTAGACCACACGTACTGAGGCAGGGTGCCTGAGCCGGGGGAGCAGCTGGGTGCAGAGCCAAGTGGAACAGAAGGCAGGAAAGTGTCACCATTACCAGAATAAAGTAGGAAGTTTTCTCAATGAAACGGGGCTGAGGATCCCAACGGAAACTCAACGGTTAATTGAAAAGAAAAAACACAAATACCCAGAGCATTGTTTTGTATTAAAAAATACTATTGGAGCTTCACTAATCATTTTAATCATTGATTAATCGGAATCATAAGACACAATGGTTAGAATAATGTCTTAACATTGCTCGTGTGTTTCGACCAGCAGACAAATAACCCAAAATATTTAATGTATAAAACTTTTTGCATTAGAGAATCATCAAATATATTGTGCATAGACATTTCTTCAATTTATTGAGTGGATATTTTCTGATTACTTTCTTATCATATAAAATGTATTGATGCTAATGCTGATATGACATGTTGGTGTTTGCACCAATACCACAGCATCACTTTGCTTTTGATAACCTTATTCTAAGGACTATAAACATTGTATCTACACTCTACACCAAAAGTCAAACAAAGTGAAATGTCTAAATAATAATAATAATACATTTAATTTATAGAGAGCTTTTCAAGAAACTCAAAGACACTTCACATGAGTTAAAAAGGAAAAGAAAAAGCTAAAAATGCTAAATGCTAAAAATGTCTAAATGCAAGAAATATACAAAATCTTCGCCTGAATAAAATAGTCTAAAATTAACTAAACTCTATGATCAGAGAATAGGAAAGTAATACTCACAGCTCGGGATACATTTACATCACTACCAAAGAAGTATTGAGACTCAATACCAGTATCCCTATCACTATCCAGTAGACTACTGAACTTTACCCCCATTCATCAAACTCAACTCTCCTGCTTCTACCTGACCATCCTCATTTTATCCACCTCTTATCTGTTTGTCCATGGATGTTGTGATCGTTTTATTCATTGTTCAGGCACCTAAATATAGTCGTATAAAAGCATTGGGAAATCACAATGCTACTCGGTTTAACAGCAGGTACAAGTTTAGTCTTTTAATGTCAGTGTTATACCTTTACCTACTTGCCTTTAGGTCGCAGGAGGTAAACTGTGTAGCTGAGTTCAGATCAGATCAGTGACAGCTTGAAACCTGCACATGTTCCGAACTGAAGCGTGCTAAGTAGAATAAAGTATACAGTAACTGAAAGCTGAATAGAGGGTAGTTACTGACTCTTAAGTGCCTAGCAAGGAATAGTAACATTTTTACTATGACTGAGCTACTTCTACTAACCTTTTTGAAGGTTGCTTCCATTTTCTAGCCTTGCTTCGATCTTGAAGTTTCAAATATTTAAGGGGTAGCAGATTTGAAGGTGGTTTGAAGTTTGGGGATTGTTACACCTCTGTGACTGAATGTATTACTTCAGGTCCAGCTTTTGTATAGGAATTTTGTAAAACTTATAAACTGCCTTGTAGGGTATTTGCTGTCTAGGGTGACATACGTGATCCTTTACTCCCTAACAGACTCGACCAAACCATTCCAACCAGTTGAGGACTAATTGGAGGAAGGTATGAAGATGTTAAAAGAACACTTAATGGCTATTTGTATCCTTATTTCAATTAGAAGAATGTAAAGAGTAATGTAATGTCATTATCCCCCTATTGATCTAGCTATAGATCAAATCAGATGGGTGAAGATATGATGAAATACAATATAATGGTGGAGAGTTGACAGCAAACTTGGAAAAACCCAGACAATCATGAAATGCCAAACAATATGTTTTTGTTTTAAAAGAAAAGTAATTATTTAGTTGAGAACCTGACAGTGGCTTAATGAGGAGGGTTGCTGAAACAATACAATACAAACAAACTGGTAAAAGATGTGGATTTTATTTGCTCTTGCAAAAGCAAATTGAATAGTTTTAACCCTATGTGTGGGTATAGATGTGCAGACAGACGATGCTACTGTGTGTGCATGTTACAACAGATCATCTTGTGTTGTGTTGTGTTGTGTTTCAGTGCAGCAGTTGTACGACGACTGTTTTGTTAATCTTAGTTGTGCCAACTGAATGTAAACGTACCTACTAATACCACACCTTGTGTCCTGTCCCTAGTGATGATGGTGTATCTCTAGGAAAGTTGTGAAATATCGAATTCTCAATAAACTGGATGTTGACAACAGACTGATGGATGTTTGATTTCACTGTTTTTCCTGTCTGAGTGATTCCAGTTTGTACCACTACTCTACTCTGGATACAGTATGTTCAGTGTGGTCTTCAAGTACACATCCCACCCTGAATCACACATGTATTTCTCATTCAAAATAGCTGATGGCTATTTACTCGTAGTAACAGTTAAAAAACATGCCTACACGTTTCAGCCATTCAGGTCTTCATCAGGGTACCAGAGGAACACCTTTCACTCCCAAGCAGCACAAAGAGTAAACATATCATTTCTTGTATTATGAATTAAGCCCTAAATGCCTAGAAAAAAATAATATGAAATATAAGACAGAATCAATGAAAACATTAAGTAAACAAAGTGTAAAGGCATAGTTAATTAATTCAGATGGTTAAAATAACACGTCATACAGATAAATTATATTTACAAATAAACTCATTTAGTGGCCTGTTAAAGTGTCCTAAAGTGATAGAATATAAATAAATAAAGTGGATATAAATATTGAAATAGATACATAAATGAAAAATAATAAACATGGAAATACATCAAATTAAGGAAAAATCAATGAATAAGTACATGAATAGGGAATTAAATTAATATAAAACAAATAAATCAATAAATATTTAAAATAGATTCATGCCTGAAAAGAGACAAATGTATTTAGGAAATAGTTATCAAGAGAAAACAAGGATGGACCTTACAGTGGAAATTAAGATAACGGCATATGTTAACCAATTATTGGAATTATTTGTGCCACACTGAGAAACTAGTTGGGTTAACTAGTTGACTTTGACCAGACTTTATTTATACACTCCCTAATTGTACGCTACATAGTTTTCACTATTTTCCTTTTTATTTTTTCCCCCTGTGTTTCTCACAAATCTCAAAATGGGGCATTTTAGACAAACATTAATTATGTGTTTTGTGGAAATGTAATGTAGTTTATGCTGAATGTCAATAAAAATATGTGTTAAAAAATAAATTAGTACTTACATTTATTATTTGTCTATGACCACATGTGTATTTATTTGTAATTAATCATGCTCATTAATTAATTAATCAATTTCCTGTGTCACTTTTTAGGACCCCAAGTTTAAGAAGGTGATTGTTTAAGCCTTAAAACCACGCATGCAGTGACATCCAATGGCCACTGGGCGGCGCTCCCTCTCCACGAATGAGTTGACTCCTCTGGCTGTAGTTGCACATATGGCCGACAGGTGGCGGTGTAGCACAGCGCAGGGAGCTGAGGGAAGGTGAGCTGGGTCAGATGATGCTGCTTCTCTGCCCGAGGCCTTGCTGCCGCTTTGAACTTGACCGTGAACGCAACACAGCAACATATGATCCCCATAAAGGAACCGAGCAGAATAAAAACGGCCATAATTAATTAAAATGACTCGTTTTATTAAATATATATATACATATACGTAGAGAGTTTGAGATCAGATTTATCAATATTTTGTTGAAAGAAAAGGAACCCACATTTTATTTAAAGGGGGTTTTGAGCTACTTTGTGTTTCTGTGTCTAAATGAGATGAAATATTTGGTTTGGTCCGGGTTTTCTTCTTGAACCGGACAGGGAGCTCGGACCAGCCTCTTTGTGCACAGATTTCTGGGAACGTGGGAGAAAAAAAGCACCAGAAGAAAAGAGCTTTAGGGAAGATAGAGGACTAATTAGAGAGTGAAGGAGGGAGGGATGGACGGAGGCTGTCAGAGGATGTGGTTGCTATAGATACTTGGCATGATGCCAGGTGGAGGCAGGGCCAATTTGCATTTATTCAGATGATGGCTGCTCTTTCTCTCTCTCTCTCTCTCTCTCTCTCTCTCTCTCTCTCTCTCTCTCCTCCCTCTCTTTCTGAAATAAAAGCAGCAAAACAGCCATTTCTTCCTTTTCAAATTAATTCTTTACTCAATTTCCTTTTTAAAAAGAAGTCATTTCAATGCAAAACCCAGTGAAAATTGCTAACAATTTGCTTTAAAATATAACATTAACCCATTTAAGCTTGACAGAAAAATACATGTGCCAATTCAGATTGTGCCACAAAACAAAATGTTGTTCTGTTAGAAAACTAAGAGGTTTTATTTTTATTTTATTTTATTTTTTTATCATATTAGAGCTGATTGTTGTTTTTTCTTTTTTAACAATACCTAACTATTTTTCTTTTATTGAAAATACAAAGAATAAAAGCATACTGTACTCTGGGCCTTTGGATTGTTTCATGTGGGCCCAAATGTGCTCCTCAAGTTAAGCTTAAAAAAGAAAAGCATTATTTTTAGATAAAAAGCTCAATATCAAAAGCTAAATGAAATAATTGCAATTTTTTACTGATAGGCTTTTCATTATTAAAACCAGGGTTAGCAGACATTTTATATGAATTAGCCTTTTTTAAGGAGTCTGACCTGTACTGTAGATTAGTTCGCTGATATTGTGCCTATAGATAATTATTTCTTTATTTCTAGTCGGAAACCAGGAAGCAACTAAAAACAATCAATTGAAAGAAGTCTTAGTAATGTTTATTTTTATGCAATTAAAAAAAATCAGCATTTACAATTTCCACTCTAAATTACGCTGCTGGATGTAAATGAATTTAATATGATACAGTAATAAACATTTTCTCTGCTTTAATTATAAATGTGAGCATACTGTGTCGACGTTAACTGAAAATATATTTAGTATGAAAACTGAAAAAATTCTCTGAAGAAAAATGTTAAAGTCAATGTTTTCTTTATTGACCACATAAATATATTTATACACAACATACACACACAACGTTTTACAGCAATACAGCAGGGTGTTTTTCAGCTGACTCAACCTTCACATCAACACAGAATATAGAGCGATAACTGTGACTTTGTATAAAAAATAACAAAAAAACACCTCTAATTACTGAAAAATACTCTTCTTATTACAGACTCTTCGGAACACACAACAGGCTCAGTAACAGCACTTTAACCTGGATGTATTTAACAATCAGTCACATATCAATTTACATCAGTTAACAACATTAATATATTTAGAAAAATAAAATACAATATTCACTTTCATTATTATATATTTTAATATATTATTTTTAGCAGTAAAACACATATACAAAAGTCTGTCAGTATCTTTTTCTTGAATTTGGTCCAGATTTAGTGATTCACTTTTACGTGTGTGTGTGTGTGTGTGTGTGTGTGTGTGTCAATTCAAAGGCAAAGTAGAGACTGTCCATCACAAAATGTGTGTATCAGAGGATTTAATTGTACAGCAGAAAATCATCAAAAAATGTTAAATTGTTCAGGTCCAATCTGGCCTGAAATCCGTTTCTTTGAGCCAAAAGTTGTTCAGCCAATCAGTGATTTTCCACCGCATCAGCAATCTGCGGAGAGACAGGAAGACAGAGGAAATTAGAGACAGAACTGGGACACAGAATTAAAAAAAAACATAACAAATGTGTCCTATTTTCTACAGCCAGGATCATAAAGGCCAATGAGATAAGATGTACGAACACACGAGCCTCCGCGTCACAGTACTGACGCAGCAGATTTGGACTAAAATAGAAAAAAAGGGGGTGGAGGGAGATACAGAAGGGACTCCCTCCTCATGACTACCAATATCTGTCTGTGTTTGAGTCTACACTCGTCCACCTCTGACCTCTGAAGTCTGGAGCGTCAAGAGGACACACAGTCAGCAGGGAACCCCACAAATATGCCAGAGGGAAAAGACACACACACACACACACACACACACACACACACACACACACACACACACACACACAAGACACACTTCAGCTGTCTGGTTTTTGCACCGTCATGACTGAGCAAGATAAGGATCTGACCAGCAGAGATAAGGGATTTAATCCTAATTTGTCCAGACTTCAATCATGATCATAAATGAAAACCAGTGACAAGAGGACAGACCTTTGCATTAGCTTTTGTACTTTCTTATTATTCAGCGAAACCTTCAATAAAACCTACAATTACTTCAGGTTCATAGGTTTTAAATGCCAGTTTCTTTTTTCTCTTAATGCTCCAGCAGTACAGATTGATGGACAGTAAAAATCAAGGTGTGTGTGGGTTGTGAAGAGGAGGAGGAGAAGGAGGAGGTTGTGATTGAGGAGATCAGAGCTGGACTACACTCCCTGGATAGATGCAGTGTTTCAGACATTGGGCAATTATGAGGGGCCTTCCTGAGCTGTAGGGCTCTCCAGGGCTCTTCTTCTGCCCACGCTGTCCCAACAACTGGCTAATGTATGCAGAGGGGAGCCTACAGTCCTGTTTTTACACCAGACACACAGAGAGTAACTTGTAAAGAGTGCAGTATAGTTTAATATTTAAGTTTTGATTATTTCGATAAAAGCAGGAGTGAAGGGGGAGTCTTAACAAGATTACTGTGACCCTTAAAATGATGTAACAGCAACACAAATAAGAATATGAGCCATACAGGAGGTCAGAGGCAGGGTTACTTATTTTAGCACATTATTCCTTCTCTGTCTGCTGTTTTTTCTGCCTCCCCCCTCTGAACACGTCATATAATCCTTAAAATAACACGTTTTATATCTTTGTGAAAAGCAGCTCTTTGTCTCCTCCACACCAATATTTGTTGTCTTTGATTTTGCAATTTCTAAAATGGAGAACACACACAGCGAGGGGCAGGCCAGACCTCTAACGCAAGTCCATCAAAATTAGAACGAGGCAGACTCTCATCTCTGTGCTTTATTCACAGAAACGAAAGCTTTCAGCCTTCATTAAAAGCTATTTTAAATTAAATTGAGTATTTATTGATGATTCATAAGTCACATGACTGATTAATGGACTTTATATAATAAATGACAGCTGAAAACATATGAACATAGCATGATTTATAGGAGAAGAGTTGTGCGACATGTTCTAATTTTGATGTCCTCGATTTATCCAAAACTGATTTTAATCAGAGCTGTAAACTTGACTTTTAGACTCAGGGTTGACTGCTGTGGGGCTTGCTTTACTTGCTTTACTTGAAACTACATGACAAAAGCATCCA